CCAACACCCAGGAACTCTTCCATGTGTGCTGTATGTAACAAACCCACACGCTGGTTTTTTTCTCTGTGTCTTGAGGATTGAAGGTCAGAATGTTTTATTCCCTTAGTATTTGTCCTGATTTTGACACCTTCAGTTTTGTACGCAGAAAAATATAAAATACTTTAAAAATAACAACAGTTTCCATTTACTAAGGGCCACCTCTGCTGCCCCCAGGAACAGGCAACAAGCCTGGGCTCCCGAGGCCTGGAGGCCCTCCCTCCTGTACCCATGTGTGACGACAGCCTGGGTCCCTCTGCACCCAGGGACGCCTGGGGCCAGGACTGGCACTCAGCTATACTGTCAGTGCTCCGGGGCTACTGTGGGTGCTCATCCTGTGGGTGCTCACCCTGCTGAACCCCAGAGCCACCTGTCTGTGTGGCTCTTCTCCTGAGCCTCCATGTCACCTACAGGAGCTCAGGGCGTGCCGGGCTGTGGCTTAAACCTGTGCAGACCTTTCTTCTTCCTCCCTGGGCACCCCTGAGGGATATGGTCCTACATTGCTGGCTGTTGGGAAAGTGCCCTGGAAGCTCATCGCTTGCCGTTTGGTGGTGAGGACCTCACAGTGCTCCGGCATGCCTAGGGCACCTGGCCAGCCTCCACCGGGGCATTGGGTGCCCGGGTGCAGTGCAGCCTGCTGCTCCCAGGGCCCGATAACCAGTGTTTCAGCTTCATCATTGTCTCAAGGGGCCACTACCTCCTGCCTTCCATGATTGGCCAAAGCGTTGTCATGTGACATAGGACGACCCTCATTCAATTTTATCAATGGGGAAACTGAGGCTCAGAGAAATGACACAACTTGCTCAAGTTCACAAAAGAAAAAGCGACCCACTGGCCCTGTATCGTTGGGGTCGAGTCCAGATGCCTTCGGCCCTCCTTGTGATCATGATCTGGAGTCCCCTCCTCTGCAGCCTTCCCTTGGATGACCCACCGCCCTCCTGACCAGCCCTTCCTTCCCTTCTCCTGGAACCAGCCCTGCTCAGAGTGCCGCAGGCACCTTGGGCGATGGCAGAGGAAGGCTGCGTGGGAGCGGCAGGAGGTCTAGCTGTGGAACAAGACAGCAGCTGTGGGAAGACAGGCCAGCAGGACAAAGTGACAATGGGAAGCCCAGGAAAAGGGGGCCCTGGATGGACGGTTGCTCAGAAGAGATCCGAGTCCCAGGGAAGCCAAGGTTGGGCTGCTACGACCTTCAGATTATGCTCATGGCCTCAACCTTTCCTTTCTCAGCAAGAAAACAGGAGCACTTTTTTTTTGTGCTGGGGAAGGTGTGAGAGAACTTGGAATTGGGCCAGCCTGGCTGGAAGGCCCCTAAAGCCTGAAGCAGCTGTGGGCCCTCCCACAGCATCCCTGGGAGTTGTCTCTGAGCTCCTGCCTCTGCCCAGCAGGGGGCCCCGTGAGCCTCTGAACTAAAAGGGGATCATATACTCTGCTCAGGCTGCCGTTGGGGGTACCTCTTTCTAGATATGATGATACTTCCTAAAAACTGGCTCCTTCTCTGGGTGCTCACCTAGGTGAACGGCACTAGTGTCCCCCAAGTTGGGCCTTCGCAGTTACCTGGGGCCTCCTGCTTTCAGGATTCTGATAAGCCACGAGGTACCACCTCCTAAGACCTTTAGCTTTCCTCCCGTTCCCCTGTTTCTGCCTGGGTCCCGTTCCTCCATGGGCTCGTGTGCTTATGCAAGACCCCCTTCTCTCCTCCAGGACACTCTAAAAGCCGCCTGCACTTAAATGGCTGCTTTGCTACTCCAGTCCTTCCAGCGACTTGCTGTGGCCATCAGAGCAATAGTCAAGGCCTATGACACTGAGAGTCCTCGTGACCTGGGCCCTGCCTGCTTCTCCAAAGTCACCTCCTGAGGACGATTCGCTCATGGACCACGATACCACAGCGGGAAACGGATGCAGCTCCAAGGCCCTCCTGGGTCTCCTTGGTCTCTGTTTGTGTCCACCATCATGTCCCATGTTCATCTGGTTCCTGCTGCTCACTCTGCTGCTCATTTCTGCAAGACCCTGCTAAGCATCCCTTTGCATAAGCCTTCTCTGAACTGAACTGTCTCCCAGGGAAGCAGGCTATATGATATCCAGGGAGGTGATATTTGGGCTGAGATCTGAGCCAGGCAAAGGAGCCCGCTGTGGAAATTCTGGGACAGAAAACTGCAGGCAGGAAAGCAGTAAGCAGCCACTCTCCAGGGCAGGAAGGGGCAGAAGGCACTCAGACTACCTCTGTGACGCTCCAGCTGGCGTTGCGCTGCACCTGGGGCCTGCAGAGCAAGGGCCTCGATGCTGATGGACTTTGGGCTGCTCTTCTCGTGTGTGTCTGAGGCCCCCACCTAGTCCAGCGTCCAGAGGAAAAGCAGAAGTCCTCATGGGAATGGTGGGATCTCACCCTCCGTGCTGGGGTCTTGTGGGAGTTTGACCCCGTGACTGTGGCCACGCCTCAGTGAGCTTATTGATGGCCAGTCACTGGAGATGAATTACCTGGCTAGGCTTTGGGATGGGAGGACAGCATAAATGCAGACCTGGGCAGCTCTGGAAAGCCCCAGAAGCTTAGCCTCTAACCCTGAGGCTTTGGTTCATATGCCACTTGGCTGGGCCGGCTCCCTGCCTCCCCTGTGTGGCCTCTGATTATCCTCCACAGCACTTCCACCATGGGCTTCGGAAGGGGGGTTGGAGGACGTGTTTGCTGTCCATCTCCCATACTCCTGTTTTTTAAAGAAAAGAAGTGGAGTGCCCATCTTGTGCCAGCCACAGGCCTTCCAAAGTCCCACCTGCCCTCAGAACCTGGCTGCGAGGGGTGCTCCATCAGCTCCCCGAGATGGCACTTCACAGTAGGGGCTGCGTGCCTTCAGGTAGCTGGGCACCATCTGAGCCCCGAGGACTATGCCACCTACCCTCAGGCTGACAGCTGTGAGTGAGTCACCCCTTCCTGGGGTTGTGGGGGTCACTGCAGAATCAGAAAACCAAAGCCCCACATGCATGTCATTTAAATTCAAAGCCAGTGACCAGCACAGCAGAGTGGTGACAGCCTTGGAAATCAGATTTCCCAGCTGCCTAGACTACCCAAGGTACTGCCAGGGCTGGAGGAAGGAAGAGGCATGTGAAGGGGGAGGGGCTGCTGCTGGAGGGGGACCCCCCCCCCAATTAGGACAGGAGCCTCGTGGAGCCAAGTCGAGCTTTTCCCCAGGACCCCTATTCTTCTCAGCTGTCTGGGGAGACCCCCCTCCCTCTAAGCCCTTCATGGCAAAGGGCAGGCTTTGAATAGTGAAGAGGTGTCCCAGCAGGGTTGTCCCAGCGCTCAGGATCCCAGGATGGAGGAAGGGACCCCACTGCAGGCCCATTTTGCAGACCAAGGAGTCTCAGAAAACTTAAATGTCTTGTGCGAGGCCAGACAGCTATTGATGGGGACACAGCACACAGAAAACTTTGGCCCAGAGTTCCTGGGGTCGGCTACAGGCATCAAGAGGTAGCACAGATCAAATCCATTCCTGCCCATAGACAGAGGCCCAAGGGCGTTCCAAGTGCATCTGGCCCTGAGGACCAACGTGCAGGTGGCGCTCTGTGCGATCACTAGAGGGCAGCAACACCCCGCAGGCCCGAAGACCAGTTCTAGGCTGCGCCCGAGAGCTATCATTTTCTCCAGCCCCCAGATCATGGCCCACCACACAGTAGATGTACAAGCAAGGAGCGCAGCCTGGGGATCCAAGGAATCTGCACTGATGCCAAGAGCTAAGGATCTGATGCCAAGTGGGCATTGGCACCTGCTGCACTTGACCACTCTAAGCAGGGGACACCTGGAGTCCACCTTACCTGGTGGCTGTAAGCTCCAGGAGAAGCCACTTACCCAAAACTACCTTTCCTTGAGTGGTGGGCCGGCAACGCCCTAGGCCCCTCTGGCTCCTGCAGCTGGGGCCAAGTCTGTCATAGCACCCCCTAAAGAATAGGGCCTATTCTTCTGATGTCAAGACCTTTACAGAGCCATGGCCACAAGATACAAGGAATGAGATACTTTGGGAAGGGTTCTCCTTAACATTCCTAGCCAGACTTTCTAAGGCTCCTGAGCTGAAGGTTAGAAATCAAATTAGATTCTATTTAGAATCAGAAACAGGCAAATTGGAAGCTGTTCAAGGCTGCCTGATGGGGTCTGAATATGTCCCCAAAAGTTCATGTGGTGGAAACTTACTCTCAAATCCACATTAATGGAATTTTCAGGAGAGACCTTTGGGGAGTGATTCAGATTGGGTGAAGTCATGGGCCGGGCTTGGGGGGGGGGCGCTCACTCCAAGATGTCAGGGTCTTCCTAGGCAAAGGCAGAGACCTGAGCTGGCAGCTTGCTCTGCTCTCCATGTGACACCTGTCCGATATTGCCAGCACCCACCAGATGGCAGAGCCGTGTTCTTGGACTTTCCAGAACATGAGCCAAATTAACTTCCATTCTTTGTAAATTACCTGGTTTGGGGTATTTTGTCATATAAATGGGGAAAGAACCAAGACAACACCTTCTTACTTAGAAACTGTCCCCACTTCTTGGTGCCTGGCTGCCCAGTGTCCTGGGCTTTCCTGTCCATAACATTCCAATGGAGCCACTTCTATCATTGTAATGTTAAGAGAACAGAGACGCAGATCTCTTCACCCACCAGAAAACTGTGCATAAGCATGTTCCAGGTTCTGAAGTTACTCTGAATATTCAGGAGAGGAGCTAAGAAAAAGCAGACCTTCTGTCACGAGAAAGGAGGAGACAGGGAAAGAGAGAGAGGAGATGGAGACCCACAAGCAGAAGTGGGAAGGAGGATTGCAGCAAGTCCACAGGGTGGGAACCGTCTGGAATCCGACCCCTGCAGAGACCTTCTGTGCATTCAGGAGCTGTGTCCCCTAAGCTCTCTCTGGACATATGGGCACTTGTGACATGGAGAGATGAGGTCACAACAGTGGTTGTCAGGGAAACAGGATGCCCTGGAGAGGAGCACACTGTTTGCTAGTGCCACTGAGGAAAGGCCCACATCTGCCCACCTGCCCCTGGAGGTGACCGGGCCTTCAGAGTTCCAAGGGTCTGTTCACTGGGTTAGTTTTGCCCATTACTTCAAGAAAACGAGAAAGGTTGAAGGAACTGGGAGTGTCCAGTGATGGAAACTCCTTTGAGAACTTGTCCAGTATCAAAGGCAGTATTTAAGTGGAGTCCAGTGGGTACCAATTATAGAGAAGCAGATTCAAGGTCGGTGAAATCCAATTTAGCCCAAATCATCACATATCTCTGTAACCTCCTAACCGGGGGCTGTGCCCCTACCTGGTCATTATAAAATGTCTTTAGGGGCTGTGGGGGTGAGTTGTTTGGATAGTTATACGTTTATTTTAATGAGAATGAAACAAAAATACAATTGTACTTCCAACCCTTTATTTTCAGTAGTAACACAAAGTTTTATTTTTCAATAAGTCTGTCTCTATTTAACTTACTTTATTTAAAGAAACATGCTGATTTGACTATAATACACTGTATACACATATTAAAATTTCAAATTATACCCCATAAATGTATACAATTATTATGTGTTGATTGAAAAAAAAATAGGTAGAAAGAAAAAATGAAAGGGAAAAAAGTCTAATATTTAAAATGCTACCAGAAAGGAGTGAAAATTGTGAGACAGGAAGAGACGGATGAAGGGAGGAAAACACTGAACATTGGTGTGTACTCTTCAGTGAGGCGGCTACTGGACAAGCAAGCCCCTGGCCTCAGTGGCCACAGCAGACTGTTACATTAGTGACCTGGAGAGACCACCCCTTCTCAGTACTCACAGTCTTCTCCCGGGTCCCGGGGGGGGGGGGCTGCCTGGGACTTGCCCTCGCCTGCTGTGTCCTCAACACAGTGGGGACCATGCTGCCTCCCTTCTAAGTCTAAGCCTCAGGGAGGATTGGCAGGTTCTCCTTTTGTACTCGGGAACCTCTATAAAAATATGGCTCTGTAAAAATATGGTTATGCTGTTTGAAAAGCCAAAGTGGACCAAGTGGAAGTATCACAGGGAAAGATCCATGACCACCTAGCAAGGTCCAGCATTTCATGTCCCCAGTGAATCCAGCCTTCAGCCAGGACACCAGCTAATGAGCAAGACCAGCAGAGGAACCACCCAGCTAAGCCCAGCCCTTGTGCAGAGTGGTGTTCAATTTAAAATTTTAAAGCTCAGGAAACTAAGTCTTGAGGTGGTCGGTCATGCAGCAGCAGATAACAAGGAGAATGAGGAAAGCTCGCTTCTCCTCACAGTGGAATTCAGTGAGGACCGACTCTCTCAGTACTGTGGATTGAACCCAGGGGTGCTTAACCACTGAACCACCAGCCCTTTTTATTTATTATTTTGAGACAGGGCCTTGCTAAGTTGCTGAGGCCGGCTTTGAACTCGAGATCTTCCCGCCTCAGCCTCCCGAGTAGCTGGGATTACAGGTGTGGCCCCTGCCCCCAGCCCACACATCCTCTTTTCATTTCTGCTTTGCCTTCTCTGACCAGGTCCCAGCTCATGGCCTTTCTTCTCCCTCTAGGATTCCCAGCTTCTTCTGAAACTTGAATCCAGGTGCTCGGCAGATCAAGAGCCCTCCTGTGACACGGCTGGACACATGGCCAGGGTTGCTCCTGGTGACCCTAATAGGGCAGCCAAAGTGAGGCAGGCATGGAGCCGGCTCTAGAGACCCAGGGCGCTTGGCCACAGGAAGTGGCTGGACTCCAGCCCTGGCAGGAGGCCTGCGGCACTGAACACCAGCTTCCACCAAGGCCCCAGGCTAATTCAGTCTCTCCATTGTGACGCCTGTGACGCTGACGGGCTGCCTCCCTGTCCCTCCCCCAGAACTGCCCTCTCTTTCACCTCCCTGCTGGTCTTAAGGACTCTCAAAGATGTCACATCAGTCCAATGCCAGGCTGTCAGCAGAGGAGGTGGGGCCTAGAGCCTCTGTGGGACACGAAGACTAATGGACAGGGACTGACAAGGGGATGGCCCAGGCCTGTTCTCCCAGGGAGCAGCTCTGCCTCCTGTAAGGGCAGGATCTGGGCGAAGCTCGAGAAATCCTCCTGAGGCGCCCAATGCGCCCGGACACGCCGTGCTGCAGCTCCGCAAGACCAAGTAAAAGTGCCTGGTGATCTCACGGCTGTGAGACCAGCAGGAACTGCCAGACTGTGTCATAATGAAACTAAAGTGGTCCCCGAATGACTTCTGGTCCAACATGTTGGTTAACTCAATTTCATGCCCACGGCCTCTAATTCAGTAACTCAGACATTCAACAATTATTTTATTGACTCCAAGCAACATAATGCACATAAGCTTTTAATTTGCTCACTATGATTGCAGACTTTCTAAGAGATAAATCACCGATGCCCACTGATGACCTCCAATTTCATCATCTCTCAAGTTTCAAGTTTGAGACTCTAAAAATACTGCAAGGCCCAGAACACTGGAAGAATAGATGTTGGAACCAGAAAGTTCCAATAAAGAAAGAAAATATAGGGTTGGGGATGTGGCTCAAGCAGTAGCATGCTTGCCTGGCATGTGTGCAGCCTGGGTTCGATCCTCAGCACCACATACAAAAAAAGATGTTGTGCCCACCAATAACTAAAAAATAAATATTAAAAATTCTCTCTCTCTCTCTCCTCTCTCACTCTCTCTTTAAAAAAAAAAAAATAGAGCATCATGATCAATTTTGGCTTTTTTTTTTTTTCCTTTGATATTAGACACTGAACCCAGGAATGTTCAGCCATTGAGCTACATCTTCAGCCTTTTTATATTTTATTTTGAAACAGGGTGTTGCTAAGTTGTTTAAAGCCTCACTTAGTTGCTGAGGCTTGCCTCAAACTTGGGATTCTTCCACCTTAGCCCTCCTAAATTGCTGGGATTACAGGTATACACTACTCAAGTCCAGTGATGATCAGTTTTTTTTGGTACTGGGGATTAAATCTATGGGTGCTTAACCACTGAGCCAGAACCCCAGCCCTTTTTTTATGTTTTATTTAGTGACAGGGTCTTGCTGAGTTGCTTAGTGCCTCATTAAGTTGACGAGGCTGGCTTTAACTTGGGATCCTCCTGCCTCAGCCTCCCTAGCCATTGGAATTACAGGTGTGCGCCACTGTGCCTAGCTATGATCAGTTTTTAAAAGACAAAATCCTCAGGTTTTCACAGGTTATTGCTTAATGTTTTTCTTTTGATCTTCAAAATCAAATGTAAGAAGTTTATCAATTTTGCTTAGACTGGTTATCATATTGGAGCTGACTCAATTAAATTTACTTTAGATTTAGAATTTGTGAGTTTAAACATTTGTTTATAATTAAAAGAATCAGCAAAGTCGGCATTGGTGATAAATACCTGTAATTCTAGCGAATAAGGAGGCTGAGGCAAGAGATCACAAGTCCAAGGCCAGCATTAGTAGAATAGTGAGAGACCCAGTCTCAAAGTTGTAGATAAAATTCCCAGTACAATAAAACAAGACTGGAAAAAAAAATCAGGAAAATACTACATTACATTATTGTGTAATGAATCTTTTCTTCCTCTTTTGAAAAATAGTAAAATCAGATTTTCTTGTCAGTAAGCCATGGTACATTATGACACAAAGATCATTAGACTTTGAATCATTTGAATTCCATTGTGAACTGAGGTAAGCAGATTCCTTTAATCTCTGCACCCCAGTTTTTCCTTCTAGAAATAATGTTGATTTAAAGGATTTGTAATTCTTCCCTACCATCATAATGATCAACATTGAGATATTGACTTTAAGTGAAGAATTAGTATTAGATTAATGCAAACAGAAAAATGTAATTATATGTAACTTGCTGAAAAATGAATTACCAAACTGGTTTATTTTACTAGAAAATGAAATGTATCCCCCTGATGTAGTCTATTTTAAATAAAGATAATTTATTATCTTTAAAATTATCTTTAAAATAAAGATAATAAATTATCTTTATTTAATTATCTTGATTTTCAGTGACTTGGGGGCCTATTGTATACGGCTTTTGTTTTTATTCAGTGATATGACTAGAGCCTAGTAATATTTATTGAAATAAATTTTTGTTTTTATTCCCCCAAGACAATATAATTCTTTCAAAAGGTATTGATTTTACTTTTTTTTTTTTAAATAAGAGACTAGGAGGGGCTGGGGCTGTGACTCAGTGGTAGAGTGCTCCCCTAGCATGCATGAAGCACTGGGTTCGATCCTCAGCACTACATAAATGTAAAATAAAGATATTGTGTCCACCTAAAACTAAAAAAATAATGTTAAAAAAAATAAGAGACTAGGAATATTGTCTTCTGTCAAATGAAATTATATAATTAAAATTAATATAAGAAAAGTTTGATACTTTGATAAACACTTTGGTGTTTTTTGTCATGTATTTTCTTAACAGACTTTAAAAAATTCTTTTCAGTTATACATGACAGTATAAGATATTTTGATGAATTATACATACATAGAGTACAACTTCCCATTTTTCTGGTTGTGCATCTTATGGAATTACATTGGTTAACAAACTCTTCACTAATCTTTTCTCAATTGTCATTTCAGATACCTATTAGCCTGTCAAACGTAGGCTTTGTACCTCTTTATGGTGGAAATCAGACCCAGAAAATTCTTGCTCTTTTTGCACCTGAAGATTCACTCACAG